CTGAGCTATATCCCAGCCCCTTTTAATTTTTTATTTTGAGACAGAGTCTGCTAAGTTACCCAAGCTGGCTTCAAACTTGAAATCCTCCTGCCTCAGCCTCCCAAGTCCCTGGGATTACAGGCATGGAACATGGCACCCAGCTATCTCAATTTAAAGAAAAATTTTTCTCCAAGAAGGGCTGGCTAAAGCCTCAACGTATTTAATTTTTTTTTCCTTACAAAATAAAAAGTGATTCTTTGTTTTTGTTATTCATACAGAAAATATTATACTGTACTTTGTTAAATAAATACCAGAAATTTTCAAGATTCTCTTTAATTCCCTATTAGGCCAAGAGGGAAAGAGTAGAAAGAAGTTCTTTAGACTCAGAGACTCAGAGGGGAAATTGGACCATGACCTGGAGGCAGGAAAAGCCAGCRGGGAAGGAGCATGGGATGATGAGACAGAGGAAGAGGGACAGGGAAAAGAGAAGGTCTTTAAATCTTTTCTGCATCTCTTGGAAAAATGCCAAAGAGAGGACTCAACAACACTGCTTAAAATCCCCACCCCCCTCRCATACATGTTGCAATAGGTTCTCAAAGATCTCTTCCCTGTGAAGAGCCTCCTCTCCCCACTCCAGAGCCTCTCCCCTTAGGTTTCATTATTCTTCACCCACAAGTGGCTCTTGGTCCTTTCCATTACCTCAAACAAATTAATGAACATATTCATCATGCTTCAAAGTCCCCTCAGACCCCTTCCTCATCCCTAGCTCTTGCCTTTTCTCTGCTTTCTCTTACTACAAAGTAGTTTGCATTTTCTCCAGTTTTATATAAACAGAATCACACAGCCTGTGTTCTTTTATGGACTGGTTTCTGTCACTCAGCCCGATGTCTTCGAGATACACCTTGTAATTGCTGAATGATATTCCATTGTATATGTGCACTTTGAAGGTCAGGAATATAAGACCCAGAGAAGGGAGGAAACCTGACGAATGTGAAGAAAATCCAGAATGGGGCCAGGCCAGTTGGGGAAGGTGCCTATTTCCCTAAAACAAAAATTCGGTTTAATGTAGTATGAAAGAATGTGGCCATATGACCACATAAATGACTAAATGAAATGATGCTTGTTCTAATCTCTGTCTCCAGTTCTGACCAACTCCCAGCCACACAGGGAACTGAGACAACATAACTTCTGGGGAGAGGGGGACTCAGAAATGATTTGACTGTTGGCCTTTTCTGCACCAAACCCTTGAAGAAGTTAGGAATTGAGGAGAATTATTATTAATAAGTTTAGGGTTAGATCAAATGAGACAAAAGAACTTATAATGTTTCATAATCCGTAAAGCCTAAATCAAGGGTAAGATTTTTTCCTTTCCATCAGGAATCACCTCAAGATGTATTTTATGCTCAGATTAAAATTTAACTTTTAAGATCACTGATCCAGGAAAAAYGAAACAAAACCAAAAAGTGGGGAGTAGTTAGAGAACCATAAGTGAAAAAATTCAAAGAGATTATAATATTATATTATAATCAGCAACTGCGTGTACCTCTGTAGGAGGAGATGTAAAGTTCTTTGGGTCCAGGATAAATCCCACAGAAGTAACTTTGTGACTCCAACCTCCAGTGTCACTCCTTCCCATGCCTAAATTGACAATGGAGCTTTCTTTCCATCTATAACTACTCAGCTATTTTGTAACAAGCTTCTATCCTGTTTCAGAATCCTCTGGTGTCCTCAATCTGGTTGGACATTGGAAACAATAGTCTAAAGAATTCTGAGACTTTGAGACAAAACTTCTAGTAGCCTCTGCAATACCCTCCTCTAGTACTATCTTTAGACTCTTGCAGTCTGAAGTGTGGGCTGCAGATTGACAGTACCCACATCACCTGGGAATATGTTAGAAATGCAAATATTCAACATTCCCTCCACCCAATTTCCTACTGAATTGGCATATGCATGTTAATAAGATCCCCTAGGTATTGTGCATGTACATCAAAGTATGAGAAGCTCCTGTCTAGATGTGATTCTTCAACTTTCAAGTGCATCAGGATCCCTAGAGGATGCCTTGGCTGGGCTGGGGAGACCTAACCCAGGACCAAGTACAGTTTGGGAACCACTGCTGTAGTTGATTGCACAGAGATGAAATGAATCCTTTCCCATTGCGAGCCTGAAGGAGAATCCCTATACCTTCCAACTCAGCCCAAATGAGAATCCAGGAAAGCTAGCACTCCACAGGGCCTCTTCCCTTGGGTTGTTTTGCTGCTGCCACCTGCTCAAACAGAGCTGTAGACAAGAGGTTCTAGGGCCTCTGTACCAAAGCCAGAGTAAATGGAATGTGTTTTTCCCCACCTTTAAAACAAACAGAGCCTGAGTTGCTGGTGCTGAGAGGTAGAATACCAGGAGGTCCCTTTCTGAGGACAGGCTAGGACAAGTTGATGACACTGTACTGCCCCTTTTCTAGGATGTTCTTTATAAAGACTCTTTAAGTCCAAGGCTTTTGTTTGAGTCCTACTTGTGAATGCTCAGAGTTCTTAAGTTCGCTGGTGCTCTGCACAGCACAACAGCCATACACCTCAGTACAAACTACAAGTGCAGAGGCTGGGGATTAGCTCAGTGGCAAAGAGGTYGCACATGAGGTCCTGGGTGTGATTCTCAGCACCACAAAACAACGACAAAAAAGGAAAAAATCCCAATGAAACAAATCTGTAAGTTCAAATGCCCCAGGCCAAGCTTGACACCCATACCCCCAATTCACAATCTGTGTACTTGATTCCTACTGCCTTTGTGCTACAAAGATATGCCTAAGTGTGCAGAAAAGAAATCCTGAAGAAGCAAAATTGTTCTCACATAGAAACGTTTACCAAAGGGCACCATCCCAAAGAATTGAGATGAGGTTTGACTGGTATAAGCCCACTGGATGGAAGAAGGCAAGCTCTGTTTTCACCAAGAAAACCAAATTATAAATTTGTACCCTAGATAAGCTACACATAGAAATAGTAGTTGTCACTACTATTTTTATGAGCTTTTTAAATGTATTTTATTTTTAGCTTCTTAATATGCCAGGGTCTGTGCTAAATGTTCACAAGTATAATTTCAGCCCTAGCTATGAGTTAGTATCACTATTATCTGCATATTGCAGATGTGGGAATTAAGAAACAGAATCATTATACATTTTGTCAAAGGTTAGAAAGGTAGTTTGGCCTCCAAATGTGCCCTCTCAGCCATAGACCACATGAGGCCAGTTAGAGAAGAGCATGGTGGAATGGGGAGAGAGTTGTCATTATTGTGCACAGGAGGGTTTTTTTGTTTGTTTGTTTGTTTGTTTGTTTTTGTGTGTGTGTGTTTGTGTGTGTGTTCTTTTAAGCATGGGAACTCTTTCTTTATTTGCATGAGGGTAGGAGACAAAAATCTTACCAAGAGCCCTATTTTCTAAGACACATCTAATCGTAGCTCTTCCAATAATTCCAATCCCAGGTCCACTCCCTGACCACTTTGCACTTGGGTTAACTGAGAATCTTCTCCCCAGTTTCAGTCATGGAGGATAGGCTAGGATCAAAACATGGGTGTGTCCCCCAAAGGGAGTGACTCTGGGCACAGACAGCCTTTGAGGGATGGACTGAATACTTTAAGTATGATGAACATTACTGAGCACCTGGAAGCACATGGGAGGGAGAGCTTGGAAAGTGCTGTAATAGGGAATTCAGGTAGAATGCAGAATCTGAACACCTGGTGTCTCCCACACAAAGGTCCAGTCCACTTTGGAATTGTGTGTACTTGTGAACCTGTGCAATAAGCATTAGTATTAGTATTAGTTTAATTTAAGGAAATAATGGATTGGATATGTGTTGAGAATATAAGCACAGTGTTTACTCAAGCCTTAGCCTATGGGGCCTGCATCAGCTCTAGGCCTCCAGGAATCACTGAAGACTTAGTCTGTGGCTTGGATTGTTCCCCAACAAACCACTATTCCCTGCTCTCTCACAGGGGGAATTCAGATGGTCCTGTCCAGGGACCCAGGTGGCAAGTGACTGGCTGCTCTCTCTGTACATCTGAAAGGACTGCGTCTGCTTTCTGCGTCACCAAATTGGCTGAGTTCCCCAAGGTCAGCCTTGAGGAGAGAACTGCATGCCAGGCTCATCTGTTAGGGCTCTGAACCTCAAGAGTGGCAGGAATCCAAGAGGCCATGTCAGTCCCTTTCATGTGGTCCACTTAAGTCAATGACTAAAAGGAAGAGGCAAAGGTTCTCACCTTTAAAAAGACATTTTAGCACTTTAATCTTTAAATCGCATTTGCCAYTAGTCAGATTTTCTTCCAGTCATTTTTTCCTTCACAATTTTTTCTTTTCCTTTTTTTTAACATAACTGAATTCAGTGTATATTCAATTTTGTGTCTTATTTGTCTTTTATATTTTATAAGTATATAAGCATTTTTCTTCCCAGTGTGAACTGCTTTTCATAAGCAACTAGTAATGGTGAGTGAGTTAAGTAAATTTACCTGTCTTGGTTCCTTTGTGTGTAAAATAAGGGAGTGGTTCTTCAATTTTAGGTTGCATCAGAATTATCCACAAGTAACTCTGCTTATTAAAACTTAGACTGCAGRCCCCACCCTCAGAATTTGAATCAATAGTTCTGGGGTGGGGCCAGAGATTTGTATATCCAACAAGTGCCCAGGGGATAATGATGATGGTGGGCAGGAAACCACATCAGTGGTCACTGGTAGAGAACCAGTATAATGAGGAGATTGAGTTGTGGAATTTCCAAAATCACCTCTGGCATCAGATATCTAAATTATTGCGTATTTTTCATATTCATATGCATGAGTGTTCTAGGCTTTGTCAAAACTCTATGATTTTTTGAAAGAGAAAAGGAATCTCACCTACCACTTGTAAGTAATTATTTCCATTTGTAGCTTATGTGAGTTCCATACTTACTCCTCTTTGAAGAGACAAGGATTTTTAAAAGGATATCCATAAAAGACAGTCAGATTGACATCTAATACTTTATTGTTTTTCCTTTTCTTTTACATAGTTCCATATGTGTTGAAGAGCTGTGCAGAGTTCATAGAGACTCACGGCATTGTAGATGGAATCTACCGGCTTTCAGGAGTCACCTCAAACATACAACGGCTAAGGTAAACAAAAAGAAAGCACCAGAATTCTTCCATGATCCTCCCTCTGTCCATACCTCTGTTGGCAGGTCTTGGGAGTATGAAAAACCCGAAGGAATGGTGGGAACAGTGGTGGTGTCCAGAGATCAAATGGGACTGCTTTCAGATGCCCAGTGTTCTTAATCTTAAGGAAGAAGCTCCCCAGCCTGAGAAAATCCTTTTCAGCAATAGGTTCTGGAATTTTTAATCTGTTTCTTTGTCTTGAGCAAGGTTTAGTCTTAGGCAGTTTTGATAACTCCAATGACCTGAATGACAAGTTAGGAAAACGTGGTGATGTACTACCATTCCTTTGCCTACCTAGAAGCTCGGGTAGATCAGGTCTCCTTAGGTAGTGTTCAGAGCTGGGGGATGGCTGTGTTTTCCAGTTAGCACACATTTGATATTTTTACTGGGTCGAGAAATCAGAAGTCTGCATGATTGTTCATTTCTTTGATACTGGTATTTTTAAAGTTACTAATGGATAAACCATTTCTAATTCTATGGGTATATCCTAAACATTTAAAAGAAATTTCTATCACATTAAGAGGGCAAAAACCTTTAACACAACAGAGATATACGTRTAGAGTATATGTAGCATATGTACGTAGTACATATAAAGTATTTATTTTCTATGACTAAAGCAATAGGTTTATGTATTTTGCATAATATTTTTAATGCCAAAACAAATTCATTTGGTGGTTATTTTTAAATACTTATAATATGTTCTATAGTTATAAATGTCAACTTTTAAAACCATAAAAACATTCTTATTGTAAGAATAATGTGTAAATGAATAGGTTATGCAGATAATTCAGCTCTCTTCTTCTTCCTCCTATTTGGTTTCTGTCCCTCCTTTCCAAACCTCACTTAAAATTAAATTTTATCAAAGGAAGAAAACATCCTTTTTATTCCTGGTGAAACAATGACTCTTAAGAAAAATAATTTGTTGATTACAGCCATGGATTTTAATGAATATACCTGTTTACATCATTCTACTCATGTGCCATTTTTTAGATTTATTTTAAAAAACAAGTCCTTTTTTTCCTTCATGGTGCTAAAGATTGAACCCAGGAATTCCCATATGCTGGGCGAGTGCTCTCCCACTAAGCCACACCTCCAGTTTCTAACAGCAGGTAGTTCTTTTTTTTTTTTTTTTTTTCTGGTACCAGGGATTAAACTCAAGGGGCACTCAACCGCTGAACCACATCCCCAGCCCTATCTTGTATTTTATTTAAAGACAGGGATTCACTGAGTTGCCTAACACCTTGTGATTGATGAGGCTAGCTTTGAACTCGAGATCCTCCTGCCTCAGTCTCCCAAACCACTGGGATTACAGGCATGTATCACTGTACCCAGCAGCAGGTGGTTCTTAATGGTTTACTCTTAGCTCTGAAGTGCATTACCCACTATTGGTAAGACCTTTTGGTGGTGACAAATTCTTCTTCATTTAAGAACTGGCTTTAGCTWTAACAAGAGAAATTTGGGGGCTAAATAAATTAGCTCTACATTATTCTCCCTCTGTTCTCTTAGAACATACACCTATGAATCCATGAARCCATGGTGCAGCTCTCCTTTCAAGGCCCCATTGCTTGCTTTCAGTTCCTGACAGCATCAGAGATCCCCTTGCCCTTTTCAAGGGACAGAACTGCAATATAGAATGTGCAGTGGGCTGTTTTGAGAATTCTGCTTCTGAGAGTCCTGTTGACTTTGTCACTCCCTTACTGACCAAGTGAACACTCTCAAGACGCCTAACTTCTATATGAATCATCATCATTTTTCAACCAATTTTTAATTTCTAACTACATATTATTCGAGGCAGTATATTCATGTAACCTTTTCAGGAAATGTTTTCTGATTGTAAACCAGGTCTGGAATCAGATGGTGTTCCCAGACAACCCACTGTGGAGTGTTTAAGATAGTTATAAGCTCATCTATACCATGGGAATCACCATCAGGCAGCCTCAAAGGTTCCATTGAGCATCACCGAGATAGTTGGTTAAGTTGTTTGTGACATCAGTATATGGAGATGAGTGATAATGAACTGACTGATCCACCCTGGTTTTGGTCTCTCTTATAAGAAAGGGAATTTCATTTGAGCAATGTTTTGGAAAATTACTGAAATCTCAATGGGCTCTTTTGGCAAATTGTTTTCATATTTCCCCATGCTAATAACCGAGATTGCGGATAGAATGCCACAGGTTATCCACTTGTAAATGAGCTTTACGTCTTTCCAATCACAGCAGATTTTGCAAGGAAGAGTCACACCTGAAGTTGAAGCCTTCCCGTGACTTTCTTGGGCCTGGAGTAGATTCAAGGTCAAAAATACAGTTGGATCACATTGTAGGCTCTTTTTACCCCTCAGCTGCCAAGCAGTTGCTGACATGGAACACATGTTCCCTGGGATTGTTATGTCTCCGTCTGTGTTGTTTCAGGCAAGAGTTTGGCTCAGATCAATGTCCAGATCTGACAAGGGAAGTGTACCTCCAGGACATCCACTGTGTGGGCTCCCTCTGCAAGCTCTACTTCAGGGAGCTGCCCAACCCCCTCCTGACTTACGAGCTCTATGGGAAATTCACGGTGAGTGTTTGGATTTCCATCATGGTTGCCGGGTGGGATGCATGAAAGGGCTAAGGAGAGTTTCAGCACTAAAATAACAATAATAGTACTCACTAGCTGGCTGACATTATCTTAGCATGGTGATGGAAGTGGATGGTATGGTAAGGAATGTAAGGTAGTGGAACTGTCCGCTAAATTTTTCTTTCTTGAATTTTCAGAATCATGTTGTTTGTTTTAAGAGCTGAATTAAATTATCTCCATGTTTATTCAACTGATGGGACTCATTGTATAGGGAGGAAACTGAGAACCAGAGAAGAGAGGTGGCTGGCCCAAGGTCACTCAGCAGAGGCAGGACAGGAACCTGAGACCCCTGATGCTAGGCAAGCACTACTGGTTCATTTCCATCAGGCTATTCCTTCTGTTTCTTTGGGGGGTTGGAGAAAGAGGTGGGTAGGTAGGGAAGGGAGTGAGAACAAACAAAACTCAAGAGGATAGGTCAGAAAGCTGGGAAGAGAACAGAAACTGAGAAAAGCAATCCAGAGGAAGCACAGGAAAGGTCAGTTTATTGGGTTGGTGGGCAGGATGAATGGACAAGAGCAAAACTCCTATCAAGTAGCTATATGGTCACCAAATTGGACACCCATGGGCAAGTTAAAAAGAGAATAAATGCTTAAAGGATGTCTGCAGAAATATCATTAAAAATAGGGCTTGAACATTGTGTTGCATGAGTAGAAGTATAGAGTGGGCAGAATTGGATTTAYCCAAAGTTGGTGTTCCGCTAGCAAAAGAGGGGAGAGGGAGACTTGAGAATATACCAGGGTACCATTGACACAACTGACAATGGGATTTAGTCTGGACAGGAAGAGAAGCAAGAGTATAAGGTGATGAGTAACACTAAAGAAGTAGATYAAAGGATTCTTCATCTCAGTAGGTCAATGGAGTGATGGAGAAGGGGAGTCACAGGGAGAAGTTTGAAATTGAGAATCTGGAGGAGTTGTGGTGATTGGTAAGGACCAGATCTAGGTTCTAACAGTGAGAGAGGATCATGCTCATAGCCCTGTAATTAACATCTTTTTAAAATATTTTTTTTCATGGTACTGGGGATTGAAACCAGGTCCTTATACATACTAGGTAAGCACTCTACCACTGAGCCATCCACCAGTCCTTTGTATCTTTTTATTTTTATTTTTATTTTTATTTTTGAGACAGGTTCTCACCAAGTGGCCAGGCTGGCCTTGAGCTTGTGATCCTCCTCCCCCAGCCTCCCTAATTGCTGGGATTACAGGCGTGTGCCACCATCAGGTTCTGTGGTTTACTTATTTTGAGCATATGAAAAGTTCTTCCATTTTAAATGATAAAGGAATAAAAAAAATGCTACTTCTTTTTAAAAAATTTGTTCTACTTAGTTGTACATGACAGCAGAATGCATTTGAATTCAGTGTACACAAATGGAGCACAACATTTCAATTCTCTGGTTGTACACAGTGTAGAGATCCAGCATTCCCGCAATCATACATGTACCTAGGGTAATTGACCATCTCATTCCACCATCTTTCCTACCCTCATAACCCCTCCCCACCCTCCCCTCTGCCCAATCCAAAGTTCCTCCATTCTTCCCATGCCCCCTGCCCCATCATAATCAGAGAAAATATATGGCTTTGTTTTGGGGGGATTGACTTACTTTGCTTAGCACAATATTCTCCAACTCCATCCATTTACCTGAAAATGCCATAATTTTATTCTCTTTTTATTTTAAGAATAATGCTATTTCTTAAAATCAGGCTTGGGTCTTTAAATATGTACTTAAAAGTTTTCATTGATACTAGGAAATATTCATGATGATAAATTCAAACAGACCCAGATATATAGCTTTAATTTTAAGAAGGATCAAAAGAAAGGATGCTTAAAAGACTGACCCATTTATTTTAGTGATGGGATCATACATCATTTTTCTTGCTTCTCTACACATTAACTTTCCTAATTTTATCCACTAAAAATACATTAATGTTTTGATGAAAAAAAAAAAAAGACCAACTCACACATGCAAAAAAAAAAAAAAAAAAAAAACTTAGGGGTAAACATTGACCACTACAGAAGTCAACACATACATTTGGTTGTAGAGTTGTCATAGTAGACAATTTGAGAAATGGAAGAAAGTAAAAAGGAACCCTTGGTCTTTCCTTAAGGACCAAAGACTACAGTGTTAACATGTTCTGAGTGTTTCCTTCAGTCTTTTGTTCTTTGCATAGTGTTTTTGTTGTGTTAAGTTTTTCCAGATCAAAATAAAAGTGTGTTTTTWAAAAAGTAATAATCCTAACAGCTAGGGAGCATGAGATAAGAGGATCTCGAGTTCGAAGCCAGCCTCGTCAATGGTAGGGCACTAAGCAGCTCAGTGAGGCCCTGTCTCTAAATAAAATACAAAATAGGGCTGGGGATGTGGTTCAATGTTTGAGTGCCCCTGAGTTCAATCCTCAGTACAAAAAAAAAAAAAAAAGGTAATATAAAGGAAGTATAAAGGATAAGGTATAAATCACCTGTGGAAATCCCACACTCAAGCGTATCTGCCATCTTCTCTTTCACTCTTTAGTATGGGTGCGCGCTCTCTCTCTCTCTCTCTCTCTCTCTCTCTCTCTCACACACACACACACACACACACACACACACACTTTTTCTTTTCAATACAATATATTCCTGTTTTGGGACATTTTCATTTCAACAATGTGACAATCTTTTCATGTTAATAAATGTAAAGAGACACTGTTGTCACAGAGAATTCTTTCACATGGGCCATGGTTTCTTTCTTTCTTTCTTCTTTTTTTTTTTTTTTGAACTAGGGCTTGAAACCAGGGTTTCTTAACCACTGAGCCCCCTTTTTATATTTTATTTAGAGACAGGGTCTTACTGAGTTACTTAGGCCTTTCTATGTCGATGAGGCTGGCTTTGAACTTGTGATCCTTCTGATGGTACATGATTTCTGAAACCAGTCTCCCACTGATGGACATTTAGGTTTTTGGTTTCTCAATACCTTGCTTTTATTAAGACTGTTATAATAAACATTTATACACATTTACATTTTTGTCTATTTGCACCCTTAGGGGAGAAAAATCATTGAAGCAGACTAGCTGAGTAAAAAGTTCTTACTTAAAATTCTGTTCCCTATTTTCAAACTGTCCTCCAGAGAAACAGGAATGTGCTTTCCTTGCAGCTTTGCCAATACTGGATATTTTCCATTTATTAAATTGTTCACCAATCTGAATTAACTAAAAACAATACCTTATTGCTATTTTAATTGTAAGACTCCATTGTTTTCTACATATTTGTGATCCTCTTGTCAGTATAATAGTATCATCTTTGAATGTGATAGAATATCATCATGAAAATGAATCAAGTGAGTCTAATTTCTCCTAAATGCTATCTATTCTATTGTAGTCAGAGGTTGATAGGAATTCTTATCTAGAAACTTTAGAAATATGTTTCTTCTTAGGTCTTATCTACAGGCTAAGAACAAAACGCACATTTCTCTCTCCTTGTTCCCTTCCCTGATAGGACTGGTCATGTTGTTCTCTCACAGCAATTGAAATATACTAAAGCAACATTTTGTCAACTTGTCTTCAAATTTGAAGAAAATGACATTGTACTTAAGCAGTGTATTGACACTAAAAAATAAAATAGAAATGTTTTGTTACGAATTCTACAGAAGTAGGACCTAGCAAAGTTAACCATGTTGCAGAATTTATCATTTAATAGATTTCTTTGATCATAGTAATGAAGATAATATAAACAACCTTCATGGATATGAAAATAGCTGTGTTACATTGTTGTGCATTCTCACAATAATTTATTTAAATCTACTTGCTCAGCTGAAGTCAAAGAAGAGAATGGAATGAGAGAATTAGAAAAAAAACATTGGTGGAATAATAGTAACAATAATAGCTGATATTTGTTGAGTGCTTACAATATCATAAACTCATTATAAGTATTATTTTATTTAATCCTTAAAATAACTCTATGAAGTAGATTTTATTGTCTGTTGTATAGATGAGTAAACTGAGGCTCAGTGAGACTTGTCTGGGTGGTACAAGTGGTAAGTGGGGGTAAAGATTAAAATTGTCTCATGAATCCCATGCTACTTATAAGCAGTGATACTTGAGTAGGTAGTAAATAACACAATGCCTATGTATTATAACATAAATAACATAATAAAAGAAATACTGAAGGAAGAGTTCCATAAACAGTGTTAGGATAATTGCTGTTGGAGAGGAGGAAATCAAATTGAATTCTTACCATTTAGCAGATTTCAGGGTACAGAAGAATAACAATTAAAGCAAAGGAAAAAAATTACAAAGACAAATTTAACCAACTAAACTATTTGTACATTATTTTTTCTACATTAAAAAACTCAGTAAATATCAGGACATGTAACTTAGTGGTAGATCACTTCCCTAGCATGTGTGAGGCCCTGGGTTCAATCCCCAGTACTGCAAATAATAATAATAATAATAATAATAATAATAATAATTTAATTTAAGAAAATAATAATTTTATTTAAGAAAATACATTAATAAAATTAAAAAGCAAGTGGCTAACTATGAAAACTATAATAAAATGACAAAAGAGATTAATATTCCTTATATATAACTCCTACTTATCAATGTAAAGAGAAAAATCACATAACACTCCTCTAAACAAAGAAGCAAAGAACTTTAACAATTCAGAGAAAAAGAAAATATTTTAAAATTGTTGATTATTAGGAAAATATATTGCTTATTTTTAAAAATTTTTAAACATTATCATTTCATGCTGGTAAGCTCATAATAAGACTGACTCTTTACAGTTTTTTACTGGAAATATAAACTTGATGAACACTCCAGAAAGTCATTAGAAATTACTGTCAAAGTTCCTAAAATGTTCATATTCTTTAATCCAATAAGTCTACAATTAGGACTCTACAATAAGGTAATAATCAGGTGTATACACAAATAACTGGTTTCTAAATATTTTTATTGCAATGGTATATATAA